ACAAATACTTGCAGGCTTTGACTATCCCTCTATCACGTTCGTTGCGGGCATTCGTCTGCTCCTGCTCGAGTCTGTTCCCGGTTCTCAGGGTAAGATGAATATATCGGGGTTTGGATACTGTAAGTGATTTACAATTCAAAGTGTTGTGGTGACAGAGATTTAACCAAAAGTTTTTCAGCGTCTTTGCGCGATTCCATTCTTATCCTTCTCCTTCTATTAGGGCCTATACGTACACCATTATTTATCTCCTTTATCATGTGTGTGTTCAGTTGCTTCTTTGGTGAGATTTTTGCCTAGCCGTGAACAGCCCTCACCCCATTACCCCCCGTGCCTCTGGAGAGGTTGGCGGAGTTCTATGCTGGTTCCCGGAGCCGCAACCCCCTCCTGCGGTTTGCAATAATGGCAGCCATTGCCCTTCCCTCCCGCAAAATGGGCCCACCCGCGTATAAATAAACAGTAATTCGAGAAGAAAATTAATGAACTATTGAGAAGAGACAGAATTGTAACATGTAACGATAAATGAAACAGACCTTGTTGCCTAAACTGCCATCAGGAACATCATCATTCACTGGACATTCTAGTCGCTCCCACACAGTGAACATTGTGGAATTATTCTAAAATAAACTACCTTTCTAGAGAAAAGACGCCTGATATGTTTTATAATTTTATACAAAAATACGAAATAGAAGAGATCTTTTTTAGCACACCATTCTATAAGCCTTATATAAAACTTCCCTTGACGACTATATTGCATGAATGGAAGTTATTAATATTTACAAACTTACCCCAACATCAACTTCCTTTAGCTGTTTTGCTTTTTTGACTACGTCTCCGAGTAACGCTACCGCTTGTTCATCATCAAATCGAAGAAGAGTAGCGCGATTCTAACTGTAAGATGAGCTTCCTGTCCAAAGTGAGGAGCCTCCGTGGAGGTGCTCTTTACCTAAATAACAAAGCAGTTACTGTACAGAATATGAATTGAGTAACCAAAGTGAATTAACCCTTTGGCGACAATGGCACCCAATGGTGGGTGCCACCCTAAAATTTTCTTCTTTACCCATTTAAAACATTTTCAACATATCAGTAATTATAAGCAAGCTCCGTTACGCCTATGTTTAGCATATTTTGCAGAAATGTTTGTTACTAGCTAATTTATATGAAATTTTAGGATATGGCACTTCGCTCGGCGATGTATTAACTAGTGTTTTACATTATTAAGCTCAAGAGGGGAAATTTCAGAAGCCGCGTCTTTCACAGGGTATTAATCACACAAGGAGGAGTTTGAACTATATCAGAAAATTCTACTGTACATTTGAATTTCCAGAGTTTTCAAACACCATCCCTTTGAAATCCGAGATTTCTTTCCAAACTCCACTTCTAATTCCAACAATACATGATCATAAAGCTTAAGACTGCAGTCATATTTTGTTTATTGTCATAGTCAAAATTTTGATAGAAAACTGCTTTTAGGGACAATTTTGCCATTTTGTGCGAGAGTTGGCGCGCCAAAAAGAGGCGTGGTCCCACGACCCACGTGCAAATCCGCATTGTCGTCAAAGGGTTGAAATGAGCGACGAATCTAAATAGAACCGCACCTGGCTGGTTTCTGGCTCGGAAGAATCGAAAATCTGCATCACCGGGATACCGTGAACTGCCGGCTACGCGTGAATATGGATCGCACATTGGCTTTGAGAATCCGACGCAGCCACATCTAAACTTGCGTACATCAACAAAACTGGCATTGTTCTGGAGGAAACCTTTCAATACATTGAAATTTGTTTCGCCCGTCAAACCAGAAAATGAGTTTCCCTCAATTCGACTGATCAACACGTTGATTCTTTCCCTTTATTCGTCTTCTGCTCGATGTTGAGTATAAACGTGGCCCAATATTATCTAAGTTAACACGTTGACGACAACGCGCGTTCTAGTTATCTTAGCAAAGTGGAACAGGAGCGATTTTGCGAGCGCGGCCGCCTCACCTCACAGCTACAAATGTTGAGTGATAACTATGCAAAACATGAACGGCACAAAACCAAAACGAGAGCATCGATGGCTTTGGGTGGACGCGCAAACACGTCACGCTGTCGCCAATGGGTTAAGCTGTTTAAGACCGGTTTAAAATTGCAGTTACTTACATTGTTACAACCAAATCGCTTTCAATCTGAATCACTGCAGCTGATCGGACGCGTTTTTTTTGTTCTACTGGAAGAAGCAACTTTGGACTTCCTCACGCCTTCATAATTTTGCCGTGTCTGAAAACAGTGAACATCGCTGGACATTCGACTAAAGGCCACTTATGCTTAAGAACATTAGGCATGACTAGCCGATGTCAGACTTTGCGAATCGCGCGATTCGCTAGCGTCTGCGGTCGCGTCGCGGCCAGTGAATCACTCAATTGGCTGGTACCGCAACGCGACCGCGGACGCTAGCGAATCGCGCGATTCGCAAAGTCTGACATCCACCTTAGCCCACTCAACGGCCTTTCAAAACACCCAAACCAGCAAAAAACTACCACTTCCGAAGAAGCAATTACAGTACGAAGCAATCATGGCTATAATGTTTATGCGAAGATTTGATGCAGGTGTGCCATCACTTCATGAAAGAATCGAAAATGTAATAATTCACAACAAAAAAACCCAGTAACAAACGAATTTCAGAGATCATAATACACTTCGGGTAAAAAAACTGTTTAAGACAAAGACATTACCATAAGTCACATTACTCTGTGGATAAACAGCCCAAGAGCTCACAATTTACTAACCTGGAGGTCTAATCTTATAGTCGTAGACTGCCTGATCGTCAACATACATATCTGAGCCAGAAGGCTAGCACGATCGCACTATTGTGCAATTTCTGGTGGAATCTTAAAGATTGCACAAGTATCAACGCGCGGTCGCGCTATCGCTGTGATCGCGAACTGTGACCACTCATTCAATGTGACAATGTTCAAAGACAAATGTAAATCCGGAACTCTCTGAAGCGCTGGTAATCTCTAGTGTACTGGCCGTAATACATTGTGAACGCGAAGTTAGGAAGCACTGATGGAAGATTTCTCAACCAACCACTTCTCTGCTCAATGAGCATTTGTATAATCACATAGAAGAGATACTCTTCGCGTACAGCGTTGGGCAAGCCCTTGGCTGCAGAATTAGCAACATCAGTGGCATCAGATAGCATCAAAAGCATCAAAACACATCGAGAATGCAAATACCGCCATTCAATTCCATCGTAGCCACAACAGAGCGTGCTTCTTTTTTTACTGGGGGGACGAATCACAACCTAAGGGCACGCATAGTCGGTCGTCCGACAGCAACGATCGCAACTGTCTGACTGTCTAACTGCATCTAATCGTCGAATACTCAGGCAAGTCCGACGATCGATACGCATCCAATGCTGTGCGACAGTTACGATCGTTGCTGTCGTCCGACCGACTATGCGTGCGCCTGCTTAGAGCGTCTTGAAGGTGGACCACAAATGAGTAGTTCACTTGCCCTTTCCAGAAGCTCTGTAAGAGTTGCTTAATAATCAGATTCAGTCTAGTACCTTCAAAGAAAAGCCCGGAAGGAAAAAAAGAATACCCAGATACGCAGTCTTTGCATTGCTGCCCCAAAGGGCTCTCGTCTACGTTTGTCGGAGCCTTGAACAAAATTCAGACAGCAAAGACGAGACTGATCCAGCCAGTGTCGGATGAATACATGATCGCAGAGGAAGACTTGAATATAATGCAAAAACAAAAAGAAACACCAATATGCCAGAAAGTCAAACCTTCATTTGAATTGAACGTGCATCACGATGTGATGTACGTAATGGGGGAAATGTGAATTTACAGACGACAAAAATTGTATGACGGACGACATGCACGTTTCGAATTTCGTCGCTGGAGAGTTAAAGCGTTACCTTAAGTATGCAAATCTACCTCGATCTACTGATTTGGAAGAGTATCCGCACCGTGTTGGGTTTTGACAGAACCTCACAAGAAAGGTCTTTCAGGGTGTGCCAAGCTTTTTCAAAACGGTCTTTTGCATGATATAGAGCACATGCGAGAACCACAGAACCATGGTTAATTTTTCCTAAACGGCCCTCTGGATACCAAAAAGGGGGTCCCTGGTTCGATTCCTCGTGTGACAAATTTTTGCATTTTGACGGTTGATTTGCAAAACTTCGCGCCAAAATGAATAGCATGAAAAAGCATAGCCATAAATCAGGACGTCAGAACCCTACAATAATTTGATCAAAATTAGTGAAAAGTTTGACACCACAGTGGGCCGGTGGCTGATGTCACAGCTTTTTCACCACTTTTTCAACTCTCGGAAAATCGTGATTCTATCTCACCCATAAATCGCTGGCTTGGGATCCATCGTTCACGATAAGAACGAAAAGAATCATAAAATTGCATCTGTTCCGGTAAAAAAAAATTCGAAAAACCGAAAGGGCTGCTACGCGCTTCAAAGTACCGCCGACATCTGTCACAAATGCTGGCGACGGGAATGCTTCGACATGCCACCTGCCTCCTCGAATGGGCCGTCATTAGTAACCTATTCTCTCTTTGATTTAGTGCATTAAACACTCACACTCTACTTGCATCATACACAATGACCCGATTTGTGTTCTCTCAAATCGCACGCTTCCCCCATAATCCCGATTCTTTCATTTTGTATGTCTCTGCGTGAGCGCAACTGACATAAGCGTGCTGGAAACGTATGCAAGATTTTTCCCGTGGAGGATTCCTTCAAGTTAGCAAGTCTACTGCGGATCGACACAGAGAAGTAGTCTTCGAGTCAGTGTGCATCAAGGCGAAAACACAGACTAGGAGAAGACAGAGCGTAGGGGGGGGGGGGGGTGAGAGCCTGGACACCCCACTGCGTGGACCGTTGCATCGCACACAACAGCGAAAATCTTTAGCAGTTCATAACGCTTCTTCGCGCATTTTAGACCGCAAGGCGACGGGCGACACAAGACTTTTAAGAAGGGTTTCGTCCTTTTCTTTTCTGGAACCATAAAAGGGATTGGTATGAATTTGTTGCTACCACCCTGTGAACAGTTCTATTCTACCCATTAACGCGATTGGTCCACAACAATTCATAGCAAAGGTGTCTTCGAGCCAATCTGTCTTCACACGCCTCCCTGGTCTGCACCAGCGTCATTAGGGTGTATTTTTATCAGCTCAGCGCGCAGCCGTTTTACTATCCAAAAATTTACTGCCCGTCACAAGAACATGGTAAAGCGCTTGTTCACTCAATATTAAGCAAGGAAAAATCAGGATCTTTCAATTCGAGACCGGCTCCTTATTGCCGTTTACACAGCGTTTCACTGGAAGAGAGAATTATAATGGTTAACCCGTTAGCATTTTTCCAACGATAGCGTTGCATTTACGAATCTTGGAGAAGTGGTCGTTCTGGTGATTTCGGGAGGGGGGGGGCGGAGGAGTGGCGATGGTGAAAAAATTGCGCTGAACTCGACAGATGAGTAGAATTTGCTGTCTGCGAGCATACCCAGCACTTTCAGAAGCTCTGAAGGAGGTGTTGGGGTGTGTCAAATGATGGCAGGTTCACCGAAATCATGGACACTTCAAGTGGACGAACGGTGAGAACATCCTCCAGGCGTGGAGTTGTAAAAATTTGGAGTTGAAATTGGGCGCTATCGCAACATTTGGGGGCATCGTGGTGGCAACCCAACTACCGCATTAAAGTGTCTCCTTTTTTGTTAGAAATGGCACTCATCCTTTGGCAGGGGAAGCGAGACTCCAGGGTGTGCGAACCATTTTTGTTGTTCCGGAGTTCTGCCTCCTCCGAGGCTTAGTCCTAAAGGATACCTCCGTATCTCGCGATAGCGCCTGAAATTGCCATAACGTGATATCTGATCCTAGGGCACAACTGCTGATGGCAATGCTACCGGTTTGAATGCACTTTATTGGAATCCAACACAAAAGTACGGGTCTTAAAAATACTTTATTAGGAATTGTCTGTGTACTACGGCCACCTGAGTGGCTCTTTTTACGACGTAATTCGTGGGGCTTTCCGGTTGTGGGGTTTATGAGCATCCACAGCACGATTTGATAGCGTTCCAGTATCCAACAGTGCCGGAGATCTTGCATCCAGATGGTCCACCATTGTGAAGGCGAGACATCACTTACAGGCCATCCTTCACCAGTTGATGCACATCCACCCTTGTAGCGGTTGATGTACGCCTTAAATAGTCAAATAGGATCTACTAGACTTTCGTATTGCTGTGATCAACTCACGTTCACGCATTTAGTAGAGCAGTCGTAGTCGTCAGCACATCTCTTCCATGCGGTCGTTAGGTCTTCACCGCTCTTGCGGCCAGGCGTGCCGCAGTCCTCGTAGTAGGGCATTTTGATCTGAAAGCACCAGCTACAAGTTGAGGAGCAAAACCCATCAGTGTCCATCCTGGTACTTGAAAGGGGAGGAGGTCTCATCCAATAAGGGGGGGATTGCGGTTCAAAGCGTTCAACGCGCTCAAACTTAAGAAAAGCATGCTCTTTTGTTGCATGCTCTTTTCTCTTTTTTTCAGGGACCAAGCCTTTGAGGTGAGAGAGAAAGCTTTGGGTTTGTGACGAGTCATCTCTCCCCCCCCCCCCCAACAGGAGACTTCCTCCCCTCTTCGGGGCTCATTACTAGCTGCTCAATGAGTTAATATAAATCTTTTCTAGCAAGTTCATTCATCAGCCCTGAACCACATACACATACAAAAAAAGTGTGCTTATCATTGGAGGGGGGGAACACGCAGCAGGTGTTTCTCAAGCGCGATGACGACTGAGCTGCAGCTGAGAAGAAAGTGGTAAAGCCTGCAACTATGACTTGTGACTGTCTTTTGGCACGTATGAGATTGCTTCTAGGCTTAAGCTCAGTGCCAGTGCGTCGGGGCAGACGTCGCCCCGGCGCGTTCCCCCCCCCCCAATCCACTTATCAACAGGACCTGAAGAAATGCAGTAAGCATTAAGCTGAGTTCGCAACTTCAAAGGAATCGAGCCAAATTGGCATCCACAATATCCCTCCCCTCACTAGATTAGACCCCTGATAGGTTTCGGTTGCCTAGGCTTACCTGCGTTATAACCACAATGACAGCGTATCCGACTGCCATTCGCATCAGCAGCTTGCAACCGACTCATGAGACAGATGCAATGGATGCATGTGTCAGCCGAAGCGACGTACACTGTAATGTCGTAGGATGTAATTCGCTTTGGTTAGGGAAATAGTTCAAACATTCTACTAGTAGTATTCAAAAGGTCACAGGTCAGAAACGTACAGAGGGTGGCGGCGAGAAGAAGCTTAGCGATCATCTGTGCTGAGATGAATGCGCCAAAAACAGTCGTTTTATACCTATGAATCACGCGATCTGATAGAAGAAGCTGATAGCGAACTATCAACGTAAGTGGCCAACGATAGCACAATTGGTTGCGCACAGCTTTAGAACACGCGATAATTTTTTCGCCGATCAGAAATCGACTTGGTCCTGAATGTCCACTAAAAATTTCATGCAGTTTTGGAACAAAGGGCAGAAATTATAGGGTTTTTTCAATCTTGGTTATCCTATAAATTAAAGCTGTTACATCGATTCCTACACTTTAGGAATAATAGCTCCGGATAGCACAACCGACTTGCTATTCTTAGATCTGGAGTTTTAGTCTGCCCGAGTCTGCCCTGTTATATTAGGTCTTTCAAAGCATTCTGGGCACTATCGCAAGAAAAGGGGCATTCCAAGAACTAACTACAGAAGGGAGAAGGAACTTGTGGAAAAAGAAAAGTGCTCACGCATTCTGGAGTCTCCACCCTCTTCTGAGGCTTAGTTCCCTTGTGACATGAAGGGGATTTTACACGGTTTCAAATGTATTGCCACCACAGTGCCCCCTTATCTTGTGATAGTGCCGAATTCTGTTGGTCCTGAATTTCAAAGGCATGAAACACGGTTCGAACAGAGCATTTTCAAATGGAATAAAAACTAATGGAACCTACAAATCTTCAATAAGAAATGGGTTCAATCATTTTTCGGTTGTTCTGAATGCAGCTCAGACGGCGATGAATTCGGTGAAGGTTTTCTCAACATCAGGTGGGATTTAGGAGCATTCCTCTTGAAGCTAGCCGTCCCATCGCTCCAAAAGAGTGACTTTCGACAGGAAAGAGGTCTACTGCGAAGGAAGACTGGGCTCCAGCGCACCTCTGCACGTGCCTTGCTAACATTGATCCTAGTAACATGGTGAACTTCCTCCCACATTCAGAGCAGTCGTCGTGGTATACTCTGCTCTACAAAACCAGACGCCGTCGCCACTTGTGGTGTGTTTTGTGAATCGATGCGCTTCTGGTTTTCTGAAGCAGAGAGTACCTAGCTTGATGAGTGTTATAACGGTGATAGACAGAACATTCCAGGACACCACGGTAATATTGCCATGTAACACTATTGAACAGGTTGCTGGCGCGGTTGGTTGCCTTCTTCTTAACCCTTAGACTACGACTTTTTTAGAATCGAGTTATAAATGTGTTCTGCGTTGCAATTATCCCTCCCAGCAACAGGCAACCAGCTGTAGAAATTTGGCTGATGTACGTTGGGTGTGACCTGGGATTTGATCTAGGGACCATGCGCGCGGTAGCGGCCCGTCTTGTCATAACACCATTTCCGCTCGGATGATTTTTTTGTTCAATAAATTGGCAAATTCTACAACCACACATTTTTACAATATTAAAGTCTTCAATGACCCGAAAATTTTTACAAAAAAAGTTTGAAAAGGTCAACATTATATGGTCTATGAATGGTACGGAGTAAAACATGATATACACAAGGGCACGTTGCAAGCAGCACACATTATTTTTGTACGAGTTTCTTTCTTTGACATCGCGCAGTATCTACATCAAACCGTCAGCATACGTATGAAGAGTGTGCGAACCTTGAATTACTCAGATAATGCTCCAGCAGAAACCACCGAGTTACGGGCCGCAGCAGTGTCGGCAGCATATGCTGCCGACACGCCCG